GGAAATCTACACTCACTCTACACAAAGAACGAGATCCAGATTTTCAACACATGTTAAGCTAGTTAGTTCCTCTATATGTGTCAGAAATTTGGCACGTTACGGAAAGCATTTTCAAAAGATTGCAGACTTTTATCAACACTTGCCTTCTCTGGCTTTACACTGAAAATCAAATGGCCAGAAATTATTATCAACAAAAAACTTTGTGAACGAACCAACCAAGGACCTATTGCCCAAAAAATTTGCGAAGGAGAATGGCGATGGATCAGACATGCTGAGGAGACTGCTGGGTGACATCATACGCCAAGGTCTTGAACCGAACCAAAATGGGAAACGACGCGTTGAGCATTGGTCCGAGGGTGACATGGAGGAGATTGCATGTGGAGAACATGAGGGGTTATGGACAGTCTTGGACCCAGCTGAAGAAGACCGCAGAGAACAGGACAAAGTGGGGATGTGCTGTTGAAGCTCTATGTTCCACTCAGAACCCAAGGGAATAATAATAGTGATTATGGTTTTTCCCATTATAGCATGAATGCGAATAGTACAACATATTTACTGGCATTACTTTCACAATTAGTTATTCACGCAAAACTTCTTATTTGATTGCGTAGGATGATACCTCCAGGTTGAGAAATTTAAGACATGTGTGCTGCTATTTCAGAATTGATTGAAAGTTGACAATATGACCACTGAATCCTTGCTCGGGTCTGAAACCCTTCTGGTTCAATTTTCCTAAACTTAACTTAGTCTTCGTAGAACTGTGCTCCCAGTGATCTGAGGTACTACATTACGCCACTTGGTTTACTTGTTACTATCACAGATTAATGACTATTATCGAAAAGGTATACACTCTGGGGCTTCGTCGCCGGGTGGTTTTTAACTTCCATATAGTTGCCAACACAAGAATGTCTCATAGTAAATTAATTCATTGGTGGCCTTCTCTGCCCTTATATCTGATATAGCCTAATCACTCAATGTCTCTTCCTAAGTTTTAAGTTATTGGTGGCTATGGACAGAAGATTATTCACACTTCAACGACTTCCCACTGGTACGTGACAGGACATGAAGTCTGGTGCTTTGAAACCTTATGATATCCTGAAACTAGACAGGCCACTTCTGTAGATTAAATTTCGTTGATTCACCATGTTAGCTAGGTGAACTTAAGTGAACAACTACATCTGGTTACTATAGATCTGTCCCATGGATACAGAATTCATTCACAAAATCAAAATGTCAGAGTTTCGACCAGCTAGGACTGCTTTCCGAATTCGATGAAGATCTCAATGCTACAAGACCAACTGTGAAGTCGGTAGAGTAGTTTTAAGAGAGTAAAAATACTTTTTTATTGAATTAATTCTCTATCGATGGTTCGAAATTGAACAGATTGTATGAAGAACAATTCTGAAAATGAAAAGTAATGAAGCCAATCTGTGATGACCATTTTGTGTTGTTCTCAAATTGTGAGGGACTGATACTTCTTGGCTACCGGTACTTTTGTGGCCAATTTATTTATGATTCACTTAAAATAATAAAGGTTTAGTTAAATGTGATGATTGATTGAGGCTCCTTTTGAAGATGAAACAATTCCTGAAGTTTGGTGTATGAACTGTCGTGGAGTAAGTCAGTTTAGGGAGTTATCGATACTAACTTTTATCAAATATGTCTTTGAATAGTAAAAAAACAAAACAGTTGGAACAATGATCGTATGATGGAAACGCTGCACTATTGTTACACGTTCATTACCATATGAAGGCAAGTCTATTTAGTCTTATCTATGTCCAAATTGTATTCCTGGTATTGGTTAAGCCCACAGAGACTATCGTTCAGGATAGCTCAGCTGATTGCACTACTGAAATACGCTACCCCGGCGGACACATTCTGGTGACAGTTGTTGGTTAGCGCTAATGAACAGTTTTCACAAAAACAGTGTATGGGTTTGTACTAGCAACGTAGTAATTGAGTCAGTTAGAGCCTGTTTCAAACAAGTTAATTCAATTTTTAAAAACCTTATGTAGTGTCTTTTGAGTCATGAAAACCAGAGATTCAATGTCTTATTTTTATTTCAGTTCACATTCAGTAAAATATTCTCATTGGGCTACAATGATTGTATTGTATAAATAAACTTATATTCCCGGCCGATAACTGCTACCTTGTCGTGGTGGTCGGGCTTGAATACCGTAATGACACAACGTGCTAAACTGACTGGGACTCTGTTCCCACAGGTCCTACCATGTGAGGATAGCGATTAAACTAAAAGCAGTTACCATGGGGTACATGGGCTCCAGTATCCAATCGGATCAAATGACGTATGAACCCATATGGATCACCGGAAACCATGTGAATGCAGCTCCTGAAGCTGCTCCGCTGCCTTGCGGGTTAGACTCCAAGTCAAAGGCTTGGGGGTGGTCCCTTAATAAAAACACCTGCTTCGGTCTGGGTGCCCGGGCAGTATCTCAGCCCTCACACAATGAATTGAATAAAGCAATAAACAATCAATGAAACTTATCGCGTGTTGCAATTTCCTTCTTTCTTCCCTTCCCGATGATAGTTAACGAATACTGTTTGAACTTGTTACGCATGACTGTTTTCATTCCAGATGAAGTTCCTTATTCGTTCTCTACTTATATATCTTTCTTTTTCTTTTGATCTATGTTGTTTTATTATTATTGTGTGGCGCATCCTCCTTGGTGCCATATTGTACCGAGTTCTTATGCGTTTAAATAAATAAATTAACTTATATTTCTCAGCTATACAAATGAATCTCATTCATTGTTTGGATCTTATAACTCTGAAATAGGTTGTTTTGTCAGTGAACAAACAATTTTAGTATATAATTCTACTTTTTTTATTGTTTGTACTGGTTATTTGAAGACAACTTTATCAGAAGCTAATTTTCAATGCTTTCGAATATATATATATATATATATATATATATATATACATCCAGATGACGAGTCCCAAATAAGGCGAAACTCACATCCTGGATTCCACTGCTAGTTACCATCGACCAAGTGACTTCAGGTTACATGACCAGACATCGTCGAAGCATCTGCATAAGGAGCCAACATGTCAACCTGTGACCGAGCACTTCAGTCCAGTCAGTCGACGGGAAAATCTAAATTGAATTATATATATATATTGGCTGAAACTTTAACTTATCGTGGTCCACGAGGTGTTAAGAACCAGGTTTGAAGACTGATGCGGCAAAACTGTTTTGTTTTGCTTTTATTATTAGATGTGAGGTTCCTGGTGTTGTTGGCGTCAGGATACCTTTTAGTACGCGTTAGCATGACGTATCTATAGATTTGAAGCAACTTATATTCTCTGTGACCAATAAAAGTAGATCAACCACTGTCGATATCAGTAAATTTATCTCAACTATCTAGATTACTATTACGCGCCATTTTACACATTTAAAAAGCTAATAATGGACGTCGTTTTATTGATAAGAGATTAAAAATGTATTAACACACGATCATTTGGATATAAAGTTTATATTTGTATTTTTAGTGTAAACTTTGCTGATTATCTCATAGGATTCACTTGATGAATTTATTTCGAAAAATTTCGAAGTGTCTAAAGCTCATCAAATTTACAGACTTAACAAAAGTACTAGATGATAAAGCATAGCATCTAACACGATGGTATACTAGGCTTACAACTGAATTTATTTTATGAAAACTTATAATACTACTCATTCGGATAAAAACTTGGTAGGTGAACAATGTTTTGAACTTGTGACCTGTTGATTCACAGTCAACCTGAAATACTACAGAATTTTGAAATATCTTTCAATGAAAACATCCAGCTTAGTAGTTTGAATCACAATACTATGATTATTTAAAGATAGAATGTTTCCAATCAGTTGTTAAAGCGCACGAAGCATACTCCGAGGTAAATATGAAACCTGGCAGGACTGAACAGCCGTTTCGTCCTAGTTTGTGACTCTTCAAAGTACACGCCCACTGGGACTCGAAATTAGGACCTTCTGGTTATAAGGCGGACTCGTATACCATTCACCCACCTGGACTTGACTGAATAGTATACGGGCTTGTCTTGTAGCCAGAAGGTCCTGGGTTTGAATCCCAGTAGGTAAGTTCTGTAGAGCGGTCCCAAACTATGATGAAACGGCTGTCCTGTCCTCCGAAGTTTTCCAAAGGTTCTCTAACTAATGCTAACTCGTTATCAAACCCTTAACCAATCAAATCCCTGTAAACCAACACTTCATTATAAAACTGAAACCATCTCACGGGAGATAACAATTCCATCAAGGTTACAGATACGACTTGCTGACTAATGGCAATAAGCACAAAATCTTTACCCAGAGCACCCTATTCATTGCCTTCAATCATGTAACATCAGTTCATGGAGCACTGTGACTATAAGTCGCCTAGCTTTGCTTGCTTAGTTAACTGACAGAATTCAGACAACACCAACACCCAGTTCTAGACTTACGACACTAGTTACAACCTAATGATTAATCAGAAGTGGAGCATGTTAGGGTGAGGTTGGATCCTGGTAGACTGGATATTTTCTCTCATACCCATATTCTTGGTTATTTTCCCCCACGCAACGCCACTGTTCACACGTATATATATATATATCATTATTTTCTATCGTAGATATACTGAAATTGTTATCTCCTCTTAGTGTGTCCTAGTTTAAGTTTGGGGCTGAGAGACCGGTTACCCGTGTGATGCATTGTTGTCATAGTCTGGAGATACTCTTGATTATTGCGTCTGTCACCTTGTTCAGTGTCCTTACTAAATTCAACGCGCTGCAAAACATAATATAGTCATAGTATACACATATTTCGTGACATTCAATTCACTGTTTGATCTCGTTCGGCTTGTTCTGTTAAAAGCTGGCATTGGTCACTCGATAACAACAAGGTAAGATGGAGAACTAAAAAATAATTGACTGAATACATATAAATATGTATATTACTGGTTTATTCAAGTAGTTTTACATGAGTTGTCTAATTTATTCATTTTGTACAGTATATATATATATATATATATAGGCTGACTGTATGAGATATGTAGCTAGGCTACTCAAATGCATAAGAATAAATATGTACAAACACTAGTTCACTCACAATCTAGTGTCTTTTGAAGACTTATTTCATTTGCCGCCAGCCTAAATACACACAATATTTAAGACACTAGCCAACAATAGGTGAGGCTAGCATACTTTTAGATTTGACAACCAACTGTTTCTCGTTTGAATCTGCTGTCTGTATTGACTTTTGAACATCTTCATTAATTGATGTTATTCTATTATCATTAGATATAAATAATGGTGTTAAATGTAAATCCATTATCTGATCATTCAATACATTGATAATAATACGATCTAAACGTTTTATTAATAAGCCCTTAATTGAATTAATAAAGAAATTAATGAACCATAAAAAGAATGACTTCCAATAGGATTGTTCATGTGATTTTAGCTTGAGTGACTTTAAACGAATTGTCCGAAAGTGAAGTAATCTGCCAATTGATGATGACTGTAACACATTGGATGAGATATGATTCGATGCCGATAACAATGACGACGATGATGGTGCTGGTAAGAGTGAGGATGAGGCGTATTTTGGTGAAAACTCAGTTTTCCTTGAGTATGATAATAATTCCATGATAATTTTCACTGAGATTGAATACACCGTTAAATGAAGATCCTACAATATAATAAAAGAAAAATATTTAACACCTTTCAATAAGAATTTCAAGTATTAAGAGAAGGCGTTATTCTAGTTGTGTTATCAGACAAAATAAGTATCATACAACAAGTTTATAAACGATAGAATAGGATAGGATAGGACCAGATCGGTTCAAACTGGCATAAATCACAACAGCTTATAAGTGAAATTTTAATAAAATGGATTAAAAGAATATTCGAAGCAGGAATATTTGAAAAGTGAAACTTAATCTCGGACTTCAGAAGCCAGTGCTCCTAATTTGACTGAGTTTTTGAGGTTATTTTCAGGTAGAATCACGCAAGTTCATCTATGGTAGTTCCTGTAAGTTGGTTAATCATAAACTTCATCGGTAAAACAGATTAACCATTCTGTTGTTGACTTAACACAAGCGCACTACTTTGCCTTCCACTTATCCTTTCATAAACGTTCGCCTGGTAGGCTTAAGACATTGCAACTCTCACAATTTAGTTTTCCTAAAGCAAACTTTACTGTTTTTCTTAAAAGTGATTTGTCTGGAATACTCTTCTTCTTTTGTTTGTGTAGTGGCCTTGTTTCCAAATTTAATCCTCACTATCTATTTTATCAATGTTTTCATCAGTTGTATCGATTTCCGTATCATATTTGTCCATCACATTTCCTCAGATAATCAGTTCAATTCTTCAATTTTATTCCTTTGCTGCAAGCTTCAGCTTTAAAGTTTCAGTAGCAGTGGTATTTTTCTATGGGAGTGAGGTTCCTAACCTCACGCTCAACCTTCCTTATTCGTTGGACTTACTACCGGCTAAGCGAAGTTAAGGAGTGCATCGGCTCGAGCTCGAACCCCGAACCACATGTGTGCTTGGTGAGTATTCTACTGCTAACCCAACGTAGCACCATTCCCTCAGACGTTTAGTTCTAGTGATTACTACTGAACCGTGTCTAATTTCCTCTTATTTTTTTGTACAAATTATTGGTCACTGACAATTTTATTACCTCTTCCCATTTTTTTTGTCTTTTATGCTGTTTAACTGGACAGCTAGGAGTGGCCAATCACACAACACTAATTGACGAAATATTTTGTTACAAATAGTCTCAGATTCAAGTATATTGACGGATTTTACATTCTAGAGATCAGATGCCAAAGATAGCAAAACGTGTTTGAGTAATCACCTTTATTTCTCTTAAATCTGTACAGATTTTATAACATTTATTGAAATCTTCTTGGATTTATTCGATAACCCGCTGTATTCTGTCTTTCAGAAATCTTTCTCAGCATATACAGTGATGTGAAGACTTTCACAGAATTGAATGCAGAGCATGTTACGATACTATAACAGTTTAAATTTCAAATTCGGTAGTACGTTTTTCTCAGCAGGATATTATTACCTTCGAATGAGCAGAACTGTTTATCGCTAGTTGAACTGTGTTGTTGAAATCAAGTAATTTAAATTCCTCTGATTTTAAGTGAATTTCATGACGAATTAGTATCATTTAATGAACTAAAAAAACGATAGACCACTGAATAATTGTTTCATCCTAGCTTGAATCACTCGTTCACTATTAATATGCGATCAAGATTATGACAACTAAATTTTCAAATAAGCATTTTACTATTCATTTTCAAGAGTTAGTTTGTTGAAACTCCATTTGTTTCGGGTTAGACCACGGATTGATATCAGGTAGAGAACCACTGGAAACCAGGGAGTAATGGACAGCTATTTCGTCCTATTCTGGGACTCACCGTCAGTACGCACCCACTATGGTTCAAACCCAGGGCCTTCCAATTACAAGGCAAGCTCGTAAACCATTCAGCCACTTAGACCCGATTTCATGACCAGCCCATGAATTCTAACTTCTCCCAGTTCATAATTTGTAGCGCGACCACCAACCAATGTCATTGGCGGGAACTCCATCTTCACTCCCGTATTACTATCCAGTCAATTGGTTAGACTAAAATGGCCCATGCTTTTAGCTCCCAATGTTTCATAGCACTAGATACTGGGGGGGGGTGTCGTCATAAAGTAATGAGGCTGCTTTGTATGCTTGTTGCCTCTGCTCTTTAAAATTTCCCAACAACATTGGTTAAACCCTGCCTACCCGCCGCCACAGGATCCGAAAGTGTGCTAAGGTTAGCAAATTAACCACCGAGTTGTTTAGACCACATCTAGCTCCCAGTGGAAATATCTGATAAACACAAAAGTGGTCACTAAATGACTCTCAGTGTTATTACTTAATTCTCATCTTATCGACCAGAATTTATCAGCCAAAGTACGCTTAATTAGTACCAAAATTTTCACTAGAGGATATTTGAGTGTCGTGTAACATTGTATACAAAACTGGTAGATTTTAATCAATTAAGTAAAAATTAGACAACTATTTTCGTTAACATTCAGGACCAAAATTTGTTAAATTTCAATGTGTGCTAACTAGATATTAGAACAACAAACTGCAATTAAGGTAATTATTTTATGAACTATGTTTCCGGAAATAAATGTTTGATTTAAAAGTTACTAGTACGTCGCATAGCCCACCAGTGATATTCTGTACATATAAATAGCTCATTCTCCTCTGTGATGTTCTCGATTCAAACTAGCAAGCCATATCTCCAGATAACTGTCTCAGATATTGAAACGTTAAAGTTAACACAGTGGATATGCAAGCATTAAGACTGTTTTTGCATCGTTTTCTATCAATTTCCTTACTGTTTATGGATTAGACAAGAGTTCCACCTATTTCGGCACCAGTCTACCATTTACGTAGAAATTACGCAAGGTAGGTGTTACCATTCGTCACCTAAAGCGACTGGACTAGTATGCTATAGGAGTGATGATCAATTAGCGAATTACTTACAATTCGTTTTTAATCCAGTCAACTTCAGTTTTACTGATTGAATTCATTGTAACAAAGTGTTCAGTAATACAGCTGACTAGCACAGCTTAAAAACAAGTAAAACTGTCATCTGATGTTTAGATAACATTTAGAAAATCAAAACAAGTGATTCAGCGAAGAGACTCTTTTCAACGAATTTATCATCAAGCTGTACAGTCGTATATATATGGTTTATCAGAAGTTATATCCGGTGAGGGAATTGAATCTTAGGTGTGAATGCACAAAATAATAATAATAATAATCATATGAAGTTCAATTAAAACTAAAATGTTTGTGATTATAATCGTAGTTAAATGTCAAGTGGCAAAGCAGATTAATGTCATATATAGAATAATTCATAGGAGGGGTAGAACTTGAAAAGGATGTGCAATTATAGGATTAGTAGGCAAATCTAGGCAAAACCTAAGATTCAATTCCCTCACCGGATATAACTTCTGATAAACCATATATATACGACTGTACAGCTTGATGATAAATTCGTTGAAAAGAGTCTCTTCGCTGAATCACTTGTTTTGATTTTCTAAATGTTACAATGGGAATTTTCCATGGTTTAGATAACAATCATAAAAGATGTCTGGTGTTTGACTAGGTAGCTCTTTTCTCAATCGGTAGGTACCTTTGCTTCTTCCAAACCTCCAGCAAGAAGGGCGTAAGCACATCTACTGAGGCCTCTGGATTCGTTTTCACTGCTTACTCAGGGATTACGCCTGATGCTGTTGCCTTCCCGACTGGATTTCAATAACTTGATTGCGTTCAAGATATCTGGCTTGGTTGGAGGATCATTATTCACTGGCATTTCTGGACGAGTTGCAGATGTTGGTCAGTTCAATAGTCTTTTAAAGTGATCATTCCTATGTTTCCTTTGCTTCTTCTCTTTGATAATTAGGTTCCTGTGATTACCTTACGTTGATTTCATCTGTATTGATCTCTTCCTGGATAACAACCAGGTTGTCTTATGTGATTTTCTGAGGTCTCTTTTACTTGAGGCCTGTTCTGTTTCAGTTGCCAGTGTGTCACAGGGTTGTATTTTCTCTTCCCTAACACACTTCATCTGTTCTTTATTCACTTTGCTGTACACTGAATTCAAGCCTTCCTTTTGTTATCTATCTTTGCATTAGTTCATCTTGAGTTTAACCATCCCTCTTTCTCCTACTAACCTCCGCCGATCCGTTGGGAGCCATTCCTTATCCTACCTCTTCTTTCTTCCCAAGACAGCCATACAGAATTCCTCCAGCGTCACTTTTCGAGAGTTTCAGTGTTTTCCAGCACATATTTCCTCAGTGATGCCACATAATGCTCATGACTTTGCTAGAATGATTGAAACACAGGTGTTCTTCGTAGTTTCGTCCTTCAGTTTCTGAGTGTTGGATTTGAACTGTGGTCTGTGTCCAGTTGTTTTGAAGGCTTTCGGGTTGACCTTTGAAGTCCCCATCTTCTCCACTTCTCTATTTTGTGTCCAGCAGACTGTATCTCCATTTTCTTGATATGTCTGTCGGGTGAAACCCATGCCGCATTATGTATTTCTTTTTGTTTGTATACGCTGCCTGCAATCACCAAATCATTAGACGTTCAGTAATCTATAAATAGTACTGCGTTCTCATTCATTCTGCCGACAGCCTCTCGGTCTATAATGAGCTCTCCTCCTGTGTTATCTGCCCTCAATTTGGCGTTCATATGACCCATTAGGATTTTAATGTCGTCATTTGTCGTCTTGTCCATTAGTATTTGGAGTGTTTCTTACTACTCATATTATTCAGTAGTACATTTTGTACTTCTAAAGATTGTTTACGTCCTCAGCTGAATTTTGTTTTTATAAGGCCATTTATTTGTAATTAAGCATATATATATATAATAATCATGAATATAAAATTCATACTTACTTCTTGTTCAAATCCTGGTAGAATAGTTTTTATAGAAAAATTCAGTTGTAAGTTTTCAAACCCTAAACATGTATCCAATATTAAGCCTCTATAATAACATCCAAGTTTATCTCTTGTAATTAATTTAATTGGACATGAAAGTTGGATAGAATTTAAACCATAGACTGATATTTTACTAATTTCAAAACCAGGAAATATTTCAGTCGATTGATCAAGTTGTATAACAGATTGTTCAACGAAAAGACTTTTTAAAATTCCATTAACAAGTTGATCTAATGAACCAGTGTTTAAATCGACTGGAGGTTCTGCTAGTGCACATGTAGGCTCACTGTTTGACGAGGTGAATTTAAAGCCTGAAAAAGAGTTAGAACATGTGTCGATAGGCAGAAAGATAAACTAACAAAGTAGGTGTTCAAAGCCGCCATGTTTCGCATATGTTCATCACCTAAAAGATTATATATAATTCGATATTTTCCTTTGTTTCCATGTGAATGCTAAGCATAACTCACTCATTAGATTACTCCTCTTATTACATAACTGTATTATGCTTATTCAACTTCTTTTATGTGCTAATAACTAGGTATTTTGACAACACATCTCCACTGCCCTCTTGCCAATCTTTATCCATCTCCCTAGTTGCAATTTGATTTCTCATCAAGTTTTTTGGAGTGTCTTGACAACAATAACCGTAACTTGTTTTTACTCTTATCGGACAAAACTAATGTACACACACACATACAAAAATAAGTATATATAATTGCGACTATACAGCTAAGTGAATGAATTCGCCTCGTGAAAATAGATTCTTCGCTGAACTACGTGTTTTGGTTGGTTGGTTGGTTGGATGGGGAGTTCTCATGAAATATGTTACCTCCTTACTCATGACCATGTATTCTAGACACTATAAGACGGATAATTTTTTTACAAACAGATAAATGATACTGTTTATTGAAATCTTTATCGCTATAAATTAAAATTATCAAGAAATACAGAGATTTTTATCAAATAAGAACGAAGACTATGCCAGACGAAATGTTCACTGGCTTTTCTACATTGTCAGTGGTGATAGAACTTCGTTGACGGAAAAGTGTTCATCTTTTCTCATTGTCAAAATTCATTGTCTTCAATTTCTTAATTTTTCTTCTTTCATAATAATGCTTATTTCAATTACATTTTATTCCTGTTCAGGCAAACATGAAGAATAGCGACCACGGAGTGCGAACTCAGGAGTGACCTTGAAGATGACCAATCGAAAAAGTCGTGGTTTCGGCATGAATAAAACTGTTTATTTAGGAGGAATATACAGATAGTAATATTTTATACATTATTATTACTAACATTATTATTTCACAAACATCAAACTTACCGCTATATTTTATTCGGCAAATCAATAAAATAAATAAGATGACTGATTTGTTATAAAACATTGTAAAATTATGAGATTTTGTTTATCTTGTCATTGAATAATTTTTGTCAACGGATTTTATAATCATCTTTAAGGGTATAAGACACTTTCGTTTCTAATGTATATCATTGTCTCTTCGCCTTGATAATTTAACCAAGGAAAGTGATCGATAATTTTAAACTCAAGGTCATATCCAAAATGCTAACATTTTACTTATTATGAAGTTGATTCATTTTATTCCACCTAAATCACTTATCGTGTTATTATTGTTATTATTTCTAGTTTATTTGTTAAAAATTCAGTGTGAATTAAATACCTGCACCGGTGATAAAAATGTATCCTATTATGCTGAACCAGAGAAATGTTATCCAACACAATCTGATTTAGCTCAACAACGTCATATAGTTAAACTTATTCAACGTGATCAATATACAAGTTTAGAATTAGTCTGTCATATATGCCCTGATGAAAATATATCAAATTTTCAATGGTTTCGTATACCTCGTCATAAATATGATAAGTCAATTTTTAAACTTAGCACCGAAATATTTTATAATAGTAAATGGATACTTGATGAAAGTTTGTTTGAACCAGTGAATAGTGTATTACAAACTAATAATCCGTGCACTATAAACACTACAAATGAATTAGTATTTACACAATTTAATCCATCCAGCGATTCAGGTACTTATGTATGCCGTTCACTAAATGAAACAAACCATCCGTTAAATTTTATCTGGTATCATATTGATTATATAAATGCGTATGAAGAAGTATCCCATCAAATGGATATACCACCAGTTATACGTCAAATGGATAAATCGGTTAATTCTTATCATGATTTAGAACAATTACAAAAACAAGTTGAAGATGAAATTAATCTATCTGATGATTTTCACGATCAACAATTTAATCTATTGCATATTACATCAAAATCATTTAATAATTTAACCCATGAAGAAGAATGTGGTCCTGTTGTTATAAGACAAAATCGTGTCTGTTATATCAATATTCCCAGAAGGCTAACAGATGATATTAGTATTTATACAGAAGAAATTCAATTACTTTATCTTGTTCTACTGAATGCATTCAGTGAATTTGGACAATTCTATGATGATAAAGAACAATTACCTATATGGCCTTTACTTGAAAAATCCGCTAAAAATTCAGCTATTGTATTAGGTTTTAAATTATTTATGGATGAAAATAATCTATTCATCCCATGTCAATATAACTTTTTTAAACAATTGCCTAATTTAGAAGGGAAATTTAAACCATTGAACATATTCAATTTACATATTACCATAACATATGATATAAGTTGTGGTGAATCAAATGCCATAGAAATGGTTAATTTAGCTTTACAACGTGATATTTCTAAAATGAAGTTAAATATTTTAGGTTATAGTGATATAAGATTTATGAAACTTGAAAAATTGTCAATTGAACATGAAGGCTATTTAAAGTTGGACTGTCGTATTACTGATGCCTATGTATGCGATTATAATTATTATCCAATAATCTGGCGTACAAAAAATCAAACATTCTATCGGCGTACAATATTACACGAAAGAATTTATATGAATGAAGCTTGTGAATTAATCATACTTGATGTAAGACTAAATGATTCGGATGTGTACAGTTGTTATACAAGAGATATGCGTCAACCGACTAAATGGCATCCTCAGCCGAAATTATCCTATGCATTAAAAATTCAAAAATCTCATTATAAATGGCCTGGAGAAAATGATATATTAATTGGTTTAATATTTCTTATAATATGGAGTATATTTATTATTATTATATGGTTAATATTAATGATTTATAATCTACATATTACACATGAATCAAAAATAGTAGCGAATGAACGAATGAGAAATATTGAACGATTAGAGCGTATTAAAAAAGGAAGATTTAAAAATTACTCATCTATTTAGTTAGATAATTTTTCTTCATCGAGTTAAATCATATTTTTTTTAATCCATTGGTTTTCATCCCGAATGGGATAAAAGGATTCAAGTTTTGTAGTTTCCAGTAACGATGATGTTGTTCTTTTATGCAGTGGGATTCCTATTCTCACGCCCAGCTTTTCCTCCTTTTGCTGAGTTCACTTGTGGCTAGTACAATAAGCGGTGTTTAAGAGGGTATCAGTTTGGAAACCAAGGTGAATCTCCAGTGTGGCTGACAAATATTTTGCCAAAGAACTATTAACTCTTGTTGGTACTGTTTTTATATAATTTGGGGTAAATAAAACTTTTTTCTACCAGTGACTTTTTTGTTTTCATAAGGAAGTTCAAAGTCGATATGATGGAATGTTTAGAACTTTAACTGGTTATTTTGAAGGAATTCAAGTGTCGGCTGAGATTTCATAACTCAATTTGTCTAGTGTGCTTGGTGGTACAGTGGTTAGGACGCTCATCGATCATGCACATGGTTCGCGGTTCGATCCCCGGTCGACTCACTCCTGTATCTCGCGAAGCCAGTAGTGAGACTGGTAAAGAGGAAAGGTTGGGCATAGGGCCAGCAACTCTATCCTGCAAAATAAACACCGCTGCAGAAACTTCAAGCCTCTAGCTCGGAGCCCTATGTTCCACTGGGAACGTGAAGGAAAAAAAAGGAAAAAACTAATCTAAGTGAAAAGGGATCATAGTACCATTTATTTAACATAGTTAATAGGACCAAGAGTTGCATTTTTTGAATTTGGCAGTATTTTGAGCTCCTATTTCTTAGCAACCATAAGGTATGGAACCTGCCAGTGTTTTACAACAAATTTGCTCACAGTAGCCCATCTCAGCTATCCTGATAAACAGTTAAACTATCTGCTCCTTAGAACTGTGTTCAGAATAGTGACGATAATTAACGCATAGTTTAGCACTTTCCATCTCTTATTTACATGAAAAGTGGATGAAATCTTAGTTGCATAAAGTTTAATCATACAGTAATTGGGTCTCTCAACTTAAAATCACTGGTTTCATTCCGAACTATACTAACGCTTTCATTTTTTATATCTTGAGCCATACCTTAAAAAACATAAATTAGTTTGCGAAAATATGCAAAGCTAAGTCTGAATAATAAGATATTTATTATTTATTTCAAGTTTTCCCATTGACTGATATCCAGGAAGTACTGGACAGCTGTTTCGTCCTATTTTGAGACCCATCGGTAGTACACACCCACCGCCAGGATTCTAACACATGACCTTCCAGTTACAAGTCAAGCTCGTAGATCATTCATTCATCGGGACACAACTCAGTAGTTAGCCGATGAATTCCAACTTCTAACAATTCATGATTTCTAGCGGAACCACCAGTCAATGTCAGTGGTAAGTATTTGTCTTCACTTCCTACAGGACTGGCTCCACTGGTCACAACTTCTCACTATAATCGCAGGCAGTTCTATCCATCAGCCAGTCATCCGCGAGCATCAGACTTATTTGGTTTCAAGATTTTGACCGCGAACTGATATCAGCACGAAACAGCTGTCCAGTACTCCTTGGTTTTCAGTCGTTCTCTAACTGATGTCAATCCGTGGTCAAACTTGAAACACATCAAATCCTTATAAAACAACTCTTAAAAATTTATTACTTAACTTACTGATTTTCATTTGTGAATCAACGCTTTGTTCTGGTTAGATTGATTCAGCATTGTTATACAGTGATCTTATTCTCTCTGGAGGAACTGTCTTAGCGTTAGCAATGTGGATTCCTCTCCTTTTTTTTCCTTCACGTACCCCAGTGGAACATAGGCCTTCAAGCTAGTGGCTTGAAGTTTCTGTAGCAGTGTTTATTTTTTACAGGATGGGGTTGCTAGCCTCATGCCTAACCTTTCCTCTTTACCACCATTACTTCTGGCTTAGCGAGGTAAAGGAGTGCGTCCGTGGCCGGGGATCGAACCCCGGACCATGTGGATGGTCGGCGAGCTTTCTAACCTCTGTGCCACCGACGCACAAGGATTCCTCTCCTAGATATTTAGAATTCAAATCTTGAAGATGTAAACAAGCACTAAAATGTATGCTGATCCTTGGAGCAGAAAATAATAGCTGATTATGAACTAAGTAATCCAAACAATCAAAGTCTATTAAAACACATTAACGGTTAATATAGTGATTTTGAATTGTTCAGCTACTGGTAAATCACTTGTACGATCCAGATTTAGTAATATTTTTGTGAAAACCTATTTACAATACTAAATTCGAGTAATTATAATCTGTAACTAAAATGTGAAAGTGTTCTTCAGTGTTTCTGGAGCAAGTGGTTTAAACTATTCATAACTGTACAGAACACTCGGTTGTATAATGACAAAATTTGACGCATCTTGTTATATGCACCTAGTTCTGTCTAATTTTGCCCAAAACCTTAAAATAATTATTTTAAGGTGTTATCGCACATTGGCGTAAGCTCTGCGTTTTTCCCTCTTTTAGATTGATGGATTTCTATTGGCTGTCAGTACCCTTAATGTATCACTGAATTACTGCACATACAGAGTGTCTGTCCATCATTTGAACCGTTGTTTGAAACAGTAAAAGGTCTCTTATCGACGTCCAGTCTTTCATTTTGTCTTTGTGTGCCGCCTGTGATATTGTTGTTGCTTTTTACGTGCGATTAGGATAGATTAGCCAGCGCATTTAGTAAGTATTCAGGTGACTCTAGACTATAGCAGCCCAAAACGAAACTACCTAGTGGACGGTGGCATAATGGTTAGGACTCTGGCTGATTATGCACATGGACCGAGGTTCGACCTCCTGTCGACGCACACCTGATATCTATGGTCGGCCCGCAAAATTTGGGCTACCGATATCCATACTGAAAATTCCATACTTGTTCCAAAAATACGGTGTAGAATCAAGCTGTAATCAAAAATAAAAAATAAAAGTGCCCTTGATGAATTTATGTTCAGAAATTGGTGTAACATGACTATCAGGACTCTTGTGAGGTTTTCCTAGGACTTATACAAGAATATTATCGTATATAACCCTTTTTAAAACATTGTATTACTTGTATATAGACGTTTATTTCAAATTACGCACTCCTACTTCTCATGCATCTGATTGGTCATTAGAGGTAGTTTCGTTTTGGGCTGCTATAGTTTATAGTCACCAGTATTCGCGCATGATCTATTCAGTCCTAGTTCCGGTCATAACACTTTTATTAATGAATCCTTTTCTGTTAACAGTGGTGGAAAAGCAGTGAAGTATAGTGCTGTCTTTTACACTGTAGTAACTACTTTAAGTAACTTTACAGTAAGGCTTGGTAGTTTACTGTGAGTTGTCTTTTTGCTTCTCACAGTTAGAAAAACGTTATGTCATAAAGTTTAAGGAGCTGTTTGTGTGTCATTTGAGATGAAGGCTTTTCAAGAGCTCATCAATCGATTTTTCTTTCTTATTTGTAATTGGTGACTTACGAATTTATCAAAAGCAACAACGTGTACTGTTATTGTAACAAGAAAAGACAGGAGACTTGCTAACGGAACCTGTACTTGCAATTTAATATCTACATATAGGAAAATTATGTATACCTCATATTAAAATCATCATTCTCACAGATATTCCGTGCTGTACTACTTCTTTCGGTCTTCGTGTTGTGTTTCTTTGTCTTTTTTTGTGTGTCGAACATATTTTGCTTCAGTACTGGCTCATTTTCTGCCTTTAACGTCAAATCTATTTCTCTACTATCTGATATTTTTTGCTAATCGACGTCTCTTTATATGCTACTCATCAATCCCGTCACTAGCACGAGCCATACTATGACTGCGGGTTGTAGTGATGGTTTCCTGTCGAAGCATCTGCTCATTCTGAGCAGAAGGAATGTTTTACACTTAAAAAGCTGTCGTGCTTCACAAAACTGAAACCCACTGAGTCATACAGCATTATTTCAAATAAAAACTGTGGTCACTATTTAATCCAGATGACGAGTCCCAAATAGGATGAAATGCACGTCCTGGATTCCACTGCTAGTTACCATCCACTAAAAAACACTGTAATCTGTAAACAAGAATAATTGAATTTGTTAATGATATTTTCAAGCATCATATGAATTTAGAAATAATAAACTGGTTTACTGAAGAACAATGAGTTCCCTTTACGAGCTGATTGTTACTGTTATAGTTGTTTATGACCGAAACATTTCACACAACTGCTTTTCGACAATACAATGAATACGGTGGATATGTGTATACGTTTTGCACAAGTCAGTTATTTTCATATTCAGCTGTACGTTTCAATGAGGAAACTAACTGATTCAACAACACAACAATACGCGCAACACACTTCGGGCATTCTGATCACAAAGGTACTTGTCATACACAGTTTTATAGAAGGCAAGAAGGCATGAATCATTGCAATACAAGTCATATTGTTTACAGGTCAAGGTTACAAACAATGGGTAGGGAGGTGACGCAATGGCGTGGGTTCAGGATAGATCTCATCAGAAGCTAGCGACAGCCAGTGAATCACTTAAAGAACAGGATTCACTGGACAGTTCCTTCATCGATTTCTTTAGACGCTTTAGCAGTTTATAGCTATGATGATCACGCTAGATAAAGTTGGAAACCGAGACTACTGAATTCAAATCTTACTTGACTAAACTGTAACACGCTCAACTGAAGGGTTGGTAGTCGTTGATCTGACCTCTCACAAAGGTATAGAATGACGTTACTGAAAATTGTTGTTTTCCATCACTTAATAATTGATTTCTTATTAATAAAATTATTGTTTGGAATATACCATTTTCATTACATAAATAATCTGTACAAATAAACACACTTTTATAGTGTGGATTGGTGGCGAAACAATTATTGATCTATCCATATATATATATATATATATATATATATATATATATATATATATATATGAAGCGTTTACATGTTACCTGAATTTAAGTGACAAAATGAGTTATTGCATTTATCTATGGATTATATTAATTTATAATATTGGTAAGTATACTGTTCGCCACACTATTCATGAGTTCTTAATATATTTATTATCTAGTGTTTGCATGGAGGATTTCATCATGAGCTGACATCAGTTAGATAACCATTGAAAAACCTGGGAGTACTGGTCAGCTGTTTCGTCCTGGTTTGGGACCAGTAGGGTACAGCAGGTTGAAGATGAGGCAGTAACTCATCGAAGAAGACATTGCAAAATGGTCTTGGTATGTTGTGAATTGCCAGAAGTTAGAATTCATGCACTGGCCATTGGATTGGGTCCCAGTGGCTCAATGGTCTACGAGATCGCCTTGTAACCAGAAGGTTCTGGGTTCGAACCGCGTGGTGTGGGTGCGTACTGGATGAAGGGTCCCAAACTAGGATGAAACAGCTGTCCACTACTCCCAGGTTTTCCACTGGTTCTCTAACTGATGTCAGCTCATGATTAAATCCTCCATGCAATCAGACAAAATCCCTACAAATCCAATACTTGAAAATATCCAGCGTTTATTCACTCACAGTTCATGAAAAGATATTTATTTGCTAGTTTATTTAGCCTATCTCTTTTTGAAACTACAATTTGATTGGTAACAGTATATGAGATACTAGTCAAACATTGCTCAGACTATGGGGTTTTGATTCCATTATAGATAAGATTTTATTTTGATAAATCGCACAGTGTTTACAGTAATGTTTACTATGGGGTTTTGAGTGCTGAGACGGTAGTGAATACTTGAATCTTCAAGGAAACAGAAGATTCCTCAAGATGGATATACGTTAATCAGCGCCAAACCTGGGTCAATCACAGAGCCGTGTTTATTCACCCCTAACTCTAATAAAAAGACATTATTAGGATACACAGAAACGCCGGGTCACTCATCTTAGAGATCAAACTGCACAATAGGTGGGGAGATTTCTATCAATGTAGTTGGTACTACATAGGCACAGTTTACAGAAGCAGAATGAATCGTGTTTTGTATTTTGAAGTATTTCACCGTAACAGCTGTCAATCGCACATTGACTTCCTACCTAGAAATCATCAATTGAGGTATTGTCAACAAATTCTTTTTGATTACAGCTTGATTCTACACTGTATTTTTGGAACAAGTATGGAATTTTCAGTATGGATATCGGTAGCCCAAATTTTGCGGGCCGACCATAGATATCAGGTGTGCGTCGGCAGGAGGTCAAACCTCGGACCATGTGCATGGTCGGCGAGAGTCCTAACCAGTGCGCCACCGACGCCGTTAACTACGAGCAATAGCAAAATATAGTCTGAGATAAGCTGTATTTATTACACTTTTAAAGGCATAACTTTGAGTTGATCTGGAATAAATCAACTCTAAATCTTTTTATCACATAGCTTATATAATTGTGTTTTTACAACTGTAACTTATTAACTGGAGGATTTCATGATGAGCTGACATCAGTTAGAGAACCACTGGAAAACCTTCAGGGAGTATTGGGAAGCCGTTTCGTCCCAGTTTGGGGCTCTTCGTCAGTACGCATCCACACCACGGGTTCAAACTCAGAATCTTCCGGTTACGAGGCGAGCTAGCTCTCAGACCATTAAGTCACTGGGACCTCTTCCAGTGGCCCATGGATTCTAACTTCCGCCAATTCATGACATAACGCGACCACTTAGCAATGTCTTCTTCGATGAGTAATTGTCCTCACCTTCAACCCTACCCTAGTGGTCACGGCTTATTATTAATTTGTTCATCGGGCGAACAGGCACTAATGGCTGACAGTATGAGACATGTTACAAAGTCATTCAAAATTCATATAAATGAAATAGTATTTGGACACATTTATTCTAATATATTTAGATAGACTAGCAACTTGTCTTATACCGTCAATTGGCTCAAGTTCACAATAACTTATTCAGAGTATACTATCGATTTTTGCATAAGCATTTATGCATTAGGCTAGATTAGAGGTTCAGTGTTAGGGCACGCATAGTTCAGCTCACTCATTTTGTATCTCTACCCCAGAGATTCTAATTTTCGATAAATTGGTTCCCTTAATTTTACTTATCGTTTACCCAGTATAACTGGCCATTACTTAGATTAGGGCCATCATCATACTCAAATAAATGCCACTACTTGCATGCTACCATCACTGCAAGGGAACAGTCCTTACTAGATTATAATGATCAAATGCTCAGAATCGGTGGTAATTCCCAACTCAGAAACTCCAAGTTTCATGAGCGCTGAAAAATCCTTTTGCCAAAGTGTTATAGAGCTGATTGTTTGCCGATACGCCGAAACTCCACCAGTTGTACCTCTTCGAATAATTACAACTAACTAAATGCTCATATATTTTCACCACTTCTGGAATAATATCTCCAAGAATAAGTATAAACCTAGACTTTATACATCAGTATTTCAGAGATTATATCGCACTTACAGAAAATGCGTTGGTGTCACAGAAGTAGAATGCTCGCCAACCAAACATGTGATGCAGGGTTCGATCCCCGGAAGACGCACTCTTTTGCCTCACTAAGCAAGTAATAAGATTAGTAAAGAGGGAAGGTTGGGTATGAGGCTAGCAACCCCATCTTGTAAAAATAAACACTAATGCTACCGAGACTTCGAGCCTCTAGCTTGAAGCCCTATGTTCCACTAGGAACGTAAAGGAATGAGAAAAAAAACAGAAATTGTCCTTTTTCAGTAGTCTTTATATTGTCTCACAGTTAGAAGATATTTTCTGTATACCTAATGTGGAGTACCATATTTACATTATCGTTACATGGTTCACTTGGAACTATCTTGATAAAGTTAGTGGTGACGAAATTAAAGTGAGGTAGTGAAATCGAACAGGTTCGCAAAAATACTATCCAAATTTGTAGGAATGGCGACAGAATGTATTGTACCTCCAGACTAGGTAGCTTCTTTCTAATGTATTAAAGTTTTCCAAAACCTTCCTCTAAATATACATATCCAAAGAATTGTTTTTAATATATAAAAGACAGTCTTGATGCAACAAGAAATACGGTACTTCTTAACATGTGACATTTATTCTGGCTTTGCAGTAGGTGTTGGACACTGAACACATAAGCGCCGCTTCCATAATTAAAACTGGTAAGACTTCTTCAAACAAATCAGTTTTTAACTGTTTTGAAAAACCTATAACGCATGATGGCAATCAGTCTCCTTGAGGCTAGCGATAACAGATTAGTTTTTCGAGTATGACCGCCAACTGATATCAGTTAAAGAACCATTGAAACCAGGGAATACTGGACAACTGTTTCGTCAGCCTAGTTTGGGATTCCTCGATAGTACGCACCCAACGGGTTTGGAACCCAGGACCTTCCGGTTACAAGGCAAGTTCGTATACCATTCAGCCACTAGGACTCGATTTAATGGCTCACGAATTCAAACTTCTACCAATTCGTCATTTTAGCAGGACAACCGACCGATGTCATTGGCGGGAACTCCATCCTCACTTCCGACTGGATAGATCTCACTGGTCACAACTTCTCACTAGAATTCCATAAAAATCCGTCCTGTAACAAGTCATTAGAGTGCATCAGATTAGTTTTCAGGAGTTGATTTGTACGAATATGATTTTTTTCGAGATCGCGCACTGATTGATATCAGTTAGAGAACCACTGAAAACCAAAGAGTACTGGACAGCTGTTTCTTCCTAGTTTAGGACTCCTTGATTTTCATTGGTTTTGTAATTGACATCAATCTGTGGTCAGACTCGAAAAAAATCAAATCGTTACAAATCAACTCTTGAAGATATCAGACTGCTTACTGCTCATTAATTATTATTAATCACTAATTATTCATTCCAAAGCAGTGGGATATCCTCAGTTGGGCATATCTTACCAAGACGGTCTTGTCAATTCCCATAAGAGAGTCAAATCTTTGTCTTTTAGAATAACCAGGTGTCTTGGATCAGTCGGAGTTCACTTACAGTTATTTGTTTCATTCGACAGAGTAATATTCTTGTGTAGCAGAGTTTTGTTTTTAGAGTAAATAAAGACTGACATGATAAGCCCACTGACATACACTTTAGACTGTCTTTGTTACTAAGGTGATCTACTTGATAAATCAGAAATCTCAAATTCTAACTACTCGTCATTTTCATTTCGCCAGTCTGTATAATGCGGGAAAGTAATTGATCGTTTGTGAGACATCTAACTACTCGTTGTACTTCAAAAGTAGGTTAGCAGATTGCATGATTATTGGTTCAAAGCATAGACTGAAAATGTAGTCTTCTTTCAATTCTATCTACTTTCTCCATCTTTACAGAGTTTAGTGAACTGTGTAGAGATACCAACGGGCTGAATTCACGGAAAAGAAGTTATACTTACCGGTGGTTACCATGTTCTATGTCCTATGATTTATGCTTAGTGTCACACAAAATCGAAGACTTACAAGCGAAAACTGATAAACTGGTCGAAGAAGCAGCCGGCGAAGACTTGACTCCGGGTGAACATAGACAAGACGGATGTTATGAAAATAACCAACCAGCAACAACAGCAGCAACATCCCGTGCCAATCATCATCAACGGAGGGATTTCAAAGAGGTTACTTCATTTATTCGCTTATCTAGGGAGCATTGTTTCAACTACAGACAGTCAGAACGGACGAGGATGTCAAATCGAGCGAGAATCGGGAAGGCAAGAAACACATTCATCAACCTGAAACCAGTCTGGAAATCTTCGTCACTCAGCTAGAATCAACAACAAAATTCGGTAGTATTTTCAATACAAACGTCAGGATCACAAACTTGGCGGGGGTTCACAAAGAATATTTCCAACAGGCTATCGCAGACCTTTATCAACAACTGTCTTCGCTGGAGCTATACTGAAGATCAGATGGCCGGGCCGGAAAGAATCACCAATAAGAAACTATTGGAAGAAACAAAACAAGAACCAATCGCCCAGCAAATATGCAGGAGAAAGTGGCTTGAGGTGGATTGGACACTCGCTGAAGAGGCCGGTTGGTGACATCGCGCGCGCGTCAGGTCATTGCTTGAGTAGAACCAGGCCGAAAGGGAAGCAAGAGGTGAGTGGGACGTCAATGTAAGGGTGACATGGAGTAGATCGTGTGGAAAGGAGATGAAATAATATGGACTAACATGGATGCAGGTGAAGTGTACAGCAGAAGACAGAAGTAAGTAGAGACGTGCAGTTGAAGCCATATGTTCCTCTAGGAACCCAAGGGAATAATAATAATAATAAATGTAGATTTTTTTCAGCCATCATTGTTTTTATCGTCATCATGATCACAGAAAGTGTATTCTTATTGTTTTATCAGTCTTTTTTTCAGCCCTATCTCAGACTGACGAAATTTATACAACCAATTCTAGTCAATCGTTAACGTGCAACTCACTACTTACAAATAATGTATTACAATATCATATTAAACAATTGTTAACTCATTATGGCAAAGATAGTGAATATAAAATTGGTAATCCAATAAAATTTGGTGCTACTGAATTCTTTGATGTAAAGATTAACGGTTTGTCCGATGTTCAATTCACTGCACCTGTTGATATTGTCGACCTACCATCAGGTGATGTACACTTGATATTTACTCTACTATTTGATTATCTCATAATAAATGGTCAAATGAAAATGCCAGTGTTCATGAGGAAAGTTCGGGTAATTGAAAAATTTAGTGAAAATTAATTTGGTTGTTTGTTTTTCAAATTCTAATCTTCATTTATTAGTTGTAAAAATGTTAGTGTAAGTTCTGTCCAGCGTATGCTACACATCGTGTTCCGTTACAGAGACGTAAATAATATCACACTGTTTAAGTAGCGAGTGAAAATTAATCTGTGCCAATTGAATTCATAGTTTTATCATCAATATTGGTGAATTGGTATCGCATGGTGCTTGGATGATTTTTTTCATTCCTTCACGTTCCCAGTGGAACATAAGGCTTCCAGCTACAGCCTTGAAGTTTCTGTAGCAGAGGTGATTATTTTTACAGGATGGGGTTAGTAGCCTCATGCACAACCTTTCCTCTTTACCAGCTTTTATTAATGGGTTACCTAGGTAAAGGAGTGTCTCGTCAGTCGGAGATCGGATATTGGACCATGTGCATGGTCGACGAGCATCCTAACCGCAGTGCCACCGACGCACGCTTGGATGATTAGAAGTGATAAACTTGAAGCTCTAAACCTGTTGGTTATCTATAGTCCGAGGTCAACTTCTCTCAGTTACCTAAGCACTGTTTGTTGAACAATGCCTAATTACATCCTGGTCTCTACGTGAATTTTTCAATAAATATTGTCACCCAAACTGGAAAACCTTCGACGTATTGCGAAATCTGAAACTGAGTACATTAAGGGTAGCATTTCTAAACTCAATTAGGAAAATAGTGGTTATGGTCACAGTGAAAACAAATATCCTTAGTTGGGTATTCTCATAGGGCATAAATCAGCACTTAATTTACGCGCTTTACTGTAAAGCTGTTCATAGCTACATTTAATCTGTTTTTCTGATTATTCCTAATTCTTCACTTTCCCCACATGTAATCAGTCATGAAGAAATACACCGATCGATGAAAAAACAATTAGTTTGGAAAGAAATCGATGGACATTTAACCTAGGGTATTCTAACAAAATTTGTGTTCATCAACAACTGTCACTGAGTTTAAGATTGGTGCCAATACGTTCCAAGTGTAATCATATATATGTGGCGTGTATTATTTTGAGCTCAGCAGTTTTATAAACATATTACACGTTTGATAACGAGGTGATATCGGTTAGAGAACCACTGAAAAACTCGCAGGAAGTAGTAGGCAGTTGTTTCGTCTTTGTTTCAGACTCAACGGCAGTGCTCATCCACCGGGTTTGAACTCAGGACTTTCCGGTTGCAAGATGAGCTCGTAGACCATTCAGCCACTAGGATCCGATCCTTTTGTATCCTTTAAGTAATTTTAAAGTCGGATAAAACCAGTTTGAACAAATCTAAACTATCGAGCTAGGAAGAATATTATTATAATACAATGAGACAATCTTGTGGCCCAAACTTATGTAACTGCACTAAATGTGGGGTTCGAGTTCGAATCTCAGAGGGGATATGAGTTCCTCAAAGAGACTGCAGATACACGTCACTGATGAGTGCCAACAAACATAAAGCCTAGGTTTAGGGCTCCCTTCCGAAGGCTCCTAACCAGCTGTCATCATATAAGTTATTAATTGGCTTAACTTTCCGAGATGTTCAATGTTTTTTATGTAATGCATTTTTGAGTAATGAAGATTGATTGCTCTCATCCACTTGAACCACTCTATCATCTGTCCTTATTTGCTTTGGCTCTGGTGGTCAGGAGTGTTTGGAAGCTGATAACGGTATTCATTCTTCAGACAATTCACTTACTGCCTACCCGTATCGAACCGTAGTCATAGCGTTGTTATTAGTTCCACTGATATCGATCCATATCAAATTTTGACGACATTATCCTTATCGTTCATAAGACATGGAAAACTGCTTTTGTTAATACTCGAATCAAGAAATCATCTTCAGGCTGCTTACTAGATATTTGAAGCTCCTATAACAGATTTTTCAAATAGGATTAATTGCTTTTGTGTTCTTTTTTCTCTCTTTTTTTGTTTGTTTCTAGCCAGTAGAAATTAAAATGCAATCAACTAAAATATTTTTAGATTTACTACTCTCACGACCAATGGACAATAATAAGAACAACTCTAAGAACTATCAGCCTCTTCCAGTCAGTGTGAGAAAAGTCACTGTGATTCATTGGAATAAACTAAAATTCGATAGTAGAGGTTTCTTTATTAAATTCTTTAAAATGTTCAATCGTCTCCGTATATATGACAGTGTAATCAAGCGTTCTATTGAAAAAGAGATTTATCAACAAATGGAAGGATCCTTGAGATCATTTTTTGAATATTAAGTTGTTTAAAATGATTTAACTAAGAAAATAGTTGGTAGCAATTTATATCCAATGCAAATTTCTGCAAAAATCTCTCCGTCTTCCATTTCAGTCTTTAACCAAACAAAAAAAATTTTTTGATTTCTTACAGATTACAAATATTTTAAATTTATTTCTCACTATTTTGAAGCTAAAGTTATCAAATTTCTGGCTGTTTTACCTCTATTCCACTCTGAAGTCTTTCTTAATGCATGTGTGGACAGTGACTTGTAATATGCGATAGTTTTCTATGGGGACGTGTATTTAACAGCATCTAAATTTTATGTAGAAACTAATTTGATCTTTTTTGATGCATGCTTATGTCGAATATTGTTACACTGATTGTATTCCGTTCATAAAATGGTTTTAACAGCGATAATTAACAGCTGTCAAAACGTTTATTTTTGATAGTATGTTAAAAATTTTCATAATTTAGAGCATAAATGATTGAAAAATAAATTTGTTAAAAATATTATATACTACTTTAAGTAGTTAGATTCAACAACACGAAACTTATAGTTTGAAATATTTTAAAATACGTGAATGAATTCTTGGGGCTTTTTGATGCCACTTAGAACTTGAGGAAGAGTAGAGCCTTCATGATAGGATATTTCAGTTTCAAGCAAACTGAAGGTATGAAATAATGGGGAAGATGTATAGCCCAGATGGAAATTTAGAAAATCAAGTATACGGTAAATCAACACACACACAAACTACATACTCAACTATAGTAGCAATAACCCAATTATCCATGAAAGAAACTGTGTGCAGACATTGTTTAAAAAAGAGCAGCACTCATGTACTGAAGAGAATGGAATAGAAGTACCTACTAATTGTGTTCAAAAACAATGGATATCCTCACAATTTCATCAAAAATTATTTAAAAGAAACCATCTTCAAAGATCACAAGAAAATTCACTCTACCGCACATAAAAAATATCTCTGAAATGACAGCTAGAATATTAATACTGCTTGAAATATATGTAGCACACAAGCCAGCCTAATCACTTAATTTGATATTGTGAAGAATAAAAGATTCAACATAAAAAGAAAAGAAAATTAATACGATTTATACCAATAAGTTGTATGAACTGTTACAGACGTTACATCGGTCATAGTGGGCGTCTCCTTTGAATCAGAATCCAAGAACAAAAATTAGCTGTAGAAAGACATGGTATATATTCTTCTGTAACAATGCATGTAAGTAAATATGGACACTAATTTGACTGGGATAATTTCGAAATTTTAATTAGAGGAAACACCAAAAATACTGCAAAGGAAATTTCTAGAAGTCTGGTAGTCAAATCAATCAGCGATTAACAAACATATTCTCATTATTATTCCCTCGGGTTCTGAATGGAATGTTGGGCTTCAACAACACATCCCCACTTTGTCCTATCTTCTGTCGTTCTCTTCAGCTGGGTCCACGGTCGGTCAAACTCACTGATAATGTTTGTGCGTCGGTGGCACAGTGGTTAGGATTCTCGCCGACCATGCACATGGTCCGACGTCCGATATCCTGCCGACGCATATCTGATATCTCTGGTTGGCCTGAAAAATTTGGGCTACCGATATCCATGCTGAAAATTCCATACTTGTACCAAAAATACAGTGTGGAATCAAGCTGTAATGAAAAAATAAAAAATCTCTTCCTCACACGATCTCCTTCATGTCACCCTAATACCGACGACCCACTCGTCACTTCCCATTTGGACTCCACTCGAGTGATGACCTGACATGCGATGTCATTCGGCAGCCTCCTCGGTGTATGCCCGATCCACCTCCGTTTTCTCCTACATATTTGTTGAGTGATCGGCTCTTGCTTGGTTTGTTCCACTGCAGAGTTTCTCGTTACTTTATTCTTTCTGGCCATTTGATCTTCATTACGGAACCAGTGAAGGAGGCAGCTGTTGATGAAAATTTGCAAGCTATTGGAGAACCTTTTTGTTACACACTGGTCAAGTTTCTGACCCATATAGAGGGGGCCAATTGACAATTGTGTTGAAAATCCGAAGTTTGTTGTTTATGCTGTGGAGTGCAGAAGATTTCCAAACTGCTTATGTTGCTATAGTCCAAATTTACCAACTAATAAAAAGTAAATCACATGACAAGAAATTTCATATTCCAAGTCAATAGAAATAACCAGTGGTGACGTAAATTAACAACTAGTAACGGAAGTGGCTGTCAGAACATGCGAGTGAATACCTTACATGGATAATTCAAATAAGTTAAGGTTACTTTTAACTAAACAAGTGGAGGATGGTAATACAGGTCAAGAAAATTAAGTGCTAATGAAACTAGGGTAGTAAAAAAATGATGAGTTGTCACAAACAGTTGTAATAATAATAGTGAGTTTTACTCAGGATGCACATAGAAACAAAGTAGATAATGCGAAACTATGTAAGAGATCTAAGTGGATACAAGAATTATAATTGCTTAAGGTTATTTTAACTAAACAGGTAAAGGTTGGTAATATAAGTCAAGACCATTAAGTGCTAGGGTAGTAACAAAGGTGATGAGTTGTCACAAACAGTTGTTAAAAGAAGTTATGCAATAATAATATGAATAGTTTGATGAGTGAGTTTTACTCAGGATGCACATAGAAACAAAGTAGATAATACGAAACTATGTAAGAGATTTTTTTTTATTTAAGAATTATAAGCAATTAAGGAACAGGCGAAGAAACAAAATTAAGTCATCAAAATAAAAATAAAAGCTCAAAACAAATCAAAACATTGTTACCATGAGAGTAGAAGTGGTTGAGTAATCTTCTTTTGTATGCACAGCTCCGGTTTTTCCATGTGAATGGCCAGAGCTTCAGCGATGCAAAGGAGACGAAACCGTATTGCCTTTGATATGTTATTCTTGACTCTGTAGATTACTTTGAAGGAGGCGTTCGTTGAAATGCAATGATCAGTGTTGACCAGGTGTTCAATTATCGCACTCCTTATTGCACCAGTATTGCCTTTTCGCAACCATGCTGGATAATGTTCTTGAATTCTCTTGGACAGGATGCGCGTCGAACGACCGATGTACCTGGCTCCACAGCAGCAGGTGAACTGGTATATGCACATAGAAGTGGCCAGATGCGGGATCTTGTCCTTGAGGCTTCTGCAGATCAGTGGGCGACTGGAGAACACTATTCGTAGCGTTGCTGCAAAGAACGTTCTTCTCAGAGATGATGTGATCCTTCTCTTGAGAATATCGCTTGCTAAATCTCCCTTGAAATCCAAATTCATGTAGATTTTCTTTTTAGGCACAGTTAAAGTTTCGTTTTTCCGAATTATTGGTTTCATATTTTTGTCGATAAATCTTATTGGGTATCCATTTTGGATGAATATTTCTCTCAGAATATCTAATTCTGTTTCCAGAACGTCGGGACTACAGATGCGTCGGATGCGGGTAGCAAGTGATTTAATTAAGTTTCGCTTTTGTTGAATGGGCACCCAGCTATAGAAGCTTGTTAGTTGACCATTCCACGTAGGTTTTCTATGGATTGATCTTCTTAGGCTCCCATCAGCTCTTCTTGTCAGTTCCACATCAAGAAACGGAATTTTTGACTCGTTTTCCATTTCAAGAGTGAATTTTATTGCTGGATGGCAATTGTTAAATGTCTTCAGCAGCAGATTGGGGTCGTTGTTGTTGTCACAAATAATGAAAATGTCATCCACGTATCTTTTATACAGTCGCAAATTGTCGATGCTTGGCTTTAGTGAACCTCTCTCGAGGCTTGCCACGAAGCAATCTGATAGTAGTGGACCCAACGGAGATCCCATTGCAATACCATCCTTTTGTCTGTAGATGGTGTCGTTGAATGTGAACTGGACGTTCAGAGTGCATCTCAATAATAGTTCTTTCAAGTATGTTGTCGGTATTCCAATATCGAGGTGGTTGTCATCTATATATCTGCATATGAAGCAGACCGTTTCTGTGAGTGGGACATTGGTGAAAAGTGACTCGATGTCGAAGGACAGCATAATTTTGTTAGATACATTCGTGTCTTGTATGCACTCGATGAACTGGAAGGTGTCACGGAGCGAGTACGTACATAATTGCTTCCTTACAGGTTCCAGAATATCTGCTAGCCATTGTGCAATAGAGTGGTAAGGGGAACCTGACATATCCAGAATTGGACGAAGTGGGAGACCAACCTTGTGTACCTTTGGTAGACCATAAAGTCTTGGTATTATTGAACCTGTTGGCCGGATCTGATCGTAGATATCCCCACTGATTAGTTGACTAGCCTTCATTCTCTTCAAGACATCTGTGAGCTGCTTCTCAATCTGTTCCGTCTTGTTTCTTTCATTGGAAGGTTGGGAAAATTTGTCTTCATTCGACAGTATATCGTTCATTTTCTCGATGTAGTCTCTTCGATTCAGAAGCACTACACCCGCACCCTTGTCGGGTCGAGTTATAAGTAGATCTTTGTTATCTCTCAGCTGTTTTAATTCCTCTCGGTGCCGCTTCGTTAGGTGGTTGCGGACTTTTGATTTTGAATTCAAGTATTGGTGGCAGCAGTCCATGATTGTTGACTTGAATCTCTGTAATTCGTCTTCAGAAGTTGGGCTGAGATCGTGCGTTTGGCTGATTAGATTTTCAAACTGGACCTGAGTATGGAGTTTGTCGGAGTTGAAATTTATATCGCAGAATTTAGGGCCCAGAGATAGGACTTCCAGTTGCACGTCGGTTAAATGTACTGAGGAATAATTGAACACAAACTTCGTGGGTTCGTCAGGAAATTTGCCTTGAGGTTTCATCTGCTTAAGGCTGTTGTTGAGCTGGGTTACGACAGACTGCGACCGTTTATTCGCAACCAAGTCGATATATTCGGTGAATCTTTGACGTTCATCCGAAGTCAATTCGTATAAGGCAGAGGACCTCTGATTGATATTCCGCTGCAGTTCGGGCATACGTGATCTGATAGAATCAGCACAATTCATTGCATGGCGTTGAAGGGACTTCGTATTTGGATATATATGATTGCGTCGCAGTGCTTTCCAGAACCACTTTGGATACTGATGATTGGAGACGCAATCCTCGAAAAAGCCAACTTTCGCTTTCCCCACAGCAAGCTTGACAGAGTACCGCAGAAACCCATTGAGTTCCTTGACTGTCGAGGGGTCCTTGCTACGTTTCAATTCATGGATAATCCCCATCCAGGCATTAATGAAATAAGTTTATTTCATGCTAAAGACCTTCGCTGAAGATGTTGTCTAGAAGAACAACGAAAGCTTTGCAATTAAATCAACCAGCTCAGAACACAACTAATTGAAACTAAAAGTATGTGTTTCAATGTTGAATTTCTATCGAGTGAAGAGATTTTATAATCGGTTTTGCCATCAAACTACTTAAACTAAAGGGAATTATTCAAGTATTGGTTTGTAGGAATTTGGTTGATTGGTTACAGGATTTCATCATGATTTGACACTGGTTACAGAACCATTGAAAAACCTGGGAGTATTGGACAGCTGTTTCG